TTTTTTGTAACGCATGGGTATTCACATAGTTTACATTAAAATATAAATATAATCTTGTATTTTTTTACAAGATACTAAATTACAATCTAGCAATATAAAGGCAACACAAGGTTGTAAATTTCACATTTTACATTAACATATAAATATAATCTTGTATCTTTTTACAAGATACTAAATTACAATCTAGCAATATAAAGGCAACACAAGGTTGTAAAATTCACATTTTTTATCGAATAGTTACATATTTGTACACATATAAAACATTTTCAAAGATTTTTGAAGTCCTGCTTGTCTGTTTCCATTTCGAGACTTGAAGCCAATTCCGAGTTTTGCATTATGATCAAGAGATATTCTGATATGCACTTGTAGTTTCAAAATTGAAGAAGTTTCTGAAGAAAAAAATACCTTAAATATGGTGAATCATTTTTTGGCACTAGATAATAGATTAGTTCCGAATTTGGGCTATACTATATCGGTATAGCCACAAATTAACCAACCAAGTATCATTAATGCAATATGAATGGTGGAGTACCCACTGTTATTCACCAACATTCCATATTCTGTCATTAACAAAACCAAGCACCCTTTAGCCAACACTAAAACCTTTAGTGGTCGTAAAACTTAGCTTTCATTCAAAATCCTAAATATCATAATGTATTCATACATAGAACTATTTACATGTGTTATCACACACCAAACGGAAGGAAAAAACCAAATTACATCATAACGCAAACATGCTCATAAGGTAGAATGTTTCAACCTAATTTACAATGTTGTTAACAATCTTACAAAGTTATGGCTAGGGATTTAAGTAGAACATTTTTGCTTTTGGTGAGGCTCGAGGAAACTGCATAACATCCTTAGCAATGTCAAGTCTTTTTTGAACATCAGAAAATTTACTTGGTCTAATGGTAAACTTCAGGAGAGAAGGTGAATGAGCAAGAATAAGCTTTATAAAAAGCAATTCCGGTTTTGATCCTTCTAAACGTGTCATCTCAACAGTTTGCAACTGATCCAATGTACAGTCCAAACAGTTTGGGTCTTCTAAATGATCTGAAGCTGGTTCCAAGTCATATCGAATGAGTCTAAATCTCTGAAAAAAAAAACATAAAAATGCAACCATCTTAAGCATCCAACTCTAACAAATATACTTTTAGCACTCGCTATTTTACCATTTGAAAAGATGTCACAGAAAGTCTTTCTAGATTGGGCGAGTTTCGAAGCAAACAAAGAGCACCATGAAGTTGATCCAAATCACCAAGTTGAAAATTCAAAAAGAACAATCTCTTTAAACTATTGACCGGATGTGGAAGCCATTTTGGAATCTTTTCTTCAATCAAAGCCTATGAAATGAAAGTGAGATTTAAACTTACCTACACAAAAGATCAAAGTTTAAACATTAAAAGTTCACTTTTATCATACCTTAAAGAAAACACCATCGAGATATAAAACTACAATTTTGGGCAAGTTACTTAACATAATGGGCAATGTCGTTTTTTCAACTTGTACATTATCTTCAATGGGTTTCTGAAAAGATATACAAATCAGAGTAAGGCATGGACTCTGCAATAAGCGAAGTAATATGGCATCAGGACAACTGATGACAAACAAAGTCTGCAGTTTTGTAGCCTTGATGTTGAAATTGTAAACATTTGTGCATGTATGCATGTTCAATTTCGTAAGTTGTGGTAAGTTGACCTCAGTTCCACACAAATTAGCCCCAAAATCAATATTTTGGAGATCAAGATCATTAAGATTGACAAATCCTTTAAACTCATCTGGTGGCTTGAAAAAACAGTTTTCCAGTTTCAACTTTGTCAATTCAAGACAAGAAAACACATTAGAAGGAAGTTTATAACATTGACTTGAATTAGTTAGGATGAGTTCCTTGACACCATTTCTTGATAAGAGTAGCATCCATTGGTCAACTTCTTCAAAGCTATCAAGAAACATATTTATACTTGGTATATGGAGAAGAAATTTCGAGATAGGACCATTGTGAAGGATCAGAACTTTGTTTATGATCCTTATAAACCCATTATGACCAAAAGCTCCATTTTCTGCATATTTTTTGAAGAAATGCTCATCAAAAACTAGCGCCCTCATTTTGGTCCATCTGTACCTCCACTTTTTTGATAAAATGCTTGTCCTTACAGTCTCTTCAAGCAGAAGCCTCTCTAAGATTGAGTCTATCAAGTGTTCAGGCAAGTTACTGATTCTATCTTCTTCAGCACAAGTTACACGTCCCCCTCCATAATTCTCTGTCAAATTCAAGGAGAATCCAGGACTAAGTTGTTTTGATATAAAATGGAATGCAATACGTAACATGGAACAACTTTGAAATTTCTGATACTCTTCTTAATTTCCTTTATTATAAATAGGAGGTGTGGGAATATATGTGTTACTTTTATGTAGTGATGGGCTATCGCCAAACAAGCTGACGTCAGAGGTTATGTGTAAAAGGAAACTATTCCATTTTGGTTTGATTTTGATCTATCCTTGAGCATCTAGTTGCATCAATGGCTTCCCTGACAAAACCTAACTTAAAGCAACTTACATGATCACATAATATGCATTCTACTGGCAAAATCTAGATTTTACTCTTCATTTTTGAACTCATGAAATCGATTCCCTGATTTCTGTTTTCCGGTGGATGCGTGATGATTCAGAATGACTACCAAAAACAGAGTTTAAGTTTCCTACTGAAATGATCAAAAAAATCCTAAAAAAACATAATCTATGCAAAATCTCTTCCCCACACGACTTGCAAAGAATAAAAAACATGGAGATTTATTATGTAAAAGCTTACCCATCTTACAATCGAAGAACTGAGAATTTAATCAGGGTTTACTATCCGCCCACAGTGCTAAATGAGAGAGAGAGAGAGAGAGAGAGAGAGAGAGAGTAAAGTGAGTAACATCTAAATATCCTGGATTATGAACTGTGCTTTCTTTTGTTCTGATTCCTACATAGTACAGAAGCGTTATAAATACATACGACTACCAGTCACGTTTAGAAACTCGTGCATTTTTTGTTTTAGACTAAACTTCGTAAATGGTCCTTTAGTTTTTCAGAATTTGAGTTTTAAGCTATAACTTTTTTTGTAATCATAAAGGTGTATGTCAATATGTCTTCTCAAAATCTGTCGATATTGATCCCTTACATATATAATTGATTTTTATACGCTTTTTTTTAATTATATATATATTTTTATTTACTTTTAGATTTAAAAAAAATAAAATAAAAACAATAGCTTACCCCTAGTCCACCTCATCACACTATTCTCTCCCATTAAATTCTTAGACTCTCATTCTTTGCATATTTAAGAAAAACTTTCAGCAAAGAAATAGGGGAATCTCTCTCTCTCTCAAAGTTAATATAAGTTTCCAAATATGTTTGAATGGTACTAGAACCGGCCTCCCGTACCATTATGGCTCAGCACCTCCTTGTATAACATCATTGGGATAATCGATCCCACGACTATCATTCGGATAATCGATCCCACGACTATCTATGTTGAAGTCTTCTCTTTATCCACAATGACTTTTTTGGAAAGTTAATATAGGCCTCCATATATGTTTACACTGCATATAAGGAATAACAACATACTTTTAGTATTATTTTTCCATTTTTTTTCTTTCTAAATGTAGCTGCTAAGTTATGTTTAAGGCATTACTTGTTTATAAAGTAAGGATTTAAAGGTTGTTTCCATAAGCAAACAAAGTCTTTAAATCATGAATAAATAAGCTTTTTTATGGCAAATTATTCTTCCTTATATATGTTAGTGGCCTGAAACTTATGAAAAAAAATTAACTCAAATATGGTGAACCATTTTGTCACTAGAAGAGTTGTGAATTTGTGACTGTACTATAAGGGTATTTTTATGATCTTCTCTAATTATTACTTCCAATATTGACCGAATATTACTAATGCAATATGAATGGTGGAATACCCATTACTATTCACCAACATTCCATAATGTTTGTCATTAACAAAGCCAGGCACCTGTAACGACCCGATAGAGTTACAATTACAAAAACCAGTTTGGAAGATTAGAAATAATAACGATTCGGAATTCAAAAATTAAGCATTTGAAGAATTATTGATCAACAAAGGCATTAGTCATAACTTTTCATCTCGTATACGCTACAACAGAATGACGTAGTTGAAAGACGAAACTGTTCCTTATGTAAAGCTGCGAGGACAATGTTAACATTTGTCAATCTTCCTTTATATTTATGGATTGAAACGACTGGAGCTACATGTTTTACTCAAAATTGTTCATTTATCAATAAAAAAAATATTACTCCATATGAAATTTTGAATAGACGAAAACCAACGTCAAATTATTTTATGTTTTTGGTTGTAGGTGCTTTATCTACAACTCGAAGGAACATTGCAACAAGTTTGATTTTAAATCTGATGAAATAATTTTTCTGAGATACACCTTGACGTCAAAATCTTTCCAAGTTGTCAACAAGAAATCTAAGAAAATTGATGACAAATTTGTCAACAACTCTCAACATAATCTAAATGTTTAATCTGATGAGTTTTTTCCATCTTCCAGTTCTCAAACTTGTCCTCTTATGACTCTTTATGAAGATTTTCATGAGCCATAAAAGGCCATTTCTTCTTAAGAGAAAGCAAAGGACAACAAAGAAGATGAATTGTTAGAGCTAGTTGATGATGCAATTAAGAATATTGAAATTCATGACAACACACATACTCATATTTCTAAGGGGGAAGATTCAAAAAACTTTGTTCCTCTTTCGAACATGGTTACTCCAATTTCTAATTCCAATTTTGATGCACATACTGATGATCTTATGTTGGGGGAGAATTTAAATATTCATGATCGTGTCTAGGGGAGAACTTAAATCCAAACACACATGTCCAGGGGGAGAGTTCAGTATATGATGACACTGATGTACAATCGGAAGTTGAAGAAATAATTGCTTAAATTGATCCTAAATATAATCAGAATTATACATCTTTGACAAAATGGACAAAAGATCATTCAAAAAATCAAGTCATTGGAGATATTTTTTCAGGAGTCTTAATTCATGCTCAATAAAAAGAAAAACAGACTGCTTTATTTTCAAAAACGGAAATTTGCATGTTCAGTTCTTTTATTTCTAAAGTCGAACCTCAAGCTGTTAAAATTGGTCTTGATCATGCATACTGGGTGAAAGCAATGCAAGACGAATTAAATGAGTTTGAAAGAGACAAGGTTTGGAGATTGATTCCAAATCTGAAAGACGCTTTTGTTGTTGGTCTTAAATAGGTTTTCAGAAACAAAATAGATAAAGAAAGGAATGTCATTCGGAACAAAGCACGTCTTATAGTAAAAGGATATTGTCAAGAAGAAGGAATTGATTATGAAGAAACATTTGCTCCTGTTGATCGATTGAAATCTGTTCGTATCTTTTTGGCATAAGCTGCTCATAAAAATTTTGAAGTTTTTCAAATGGACGTGAAGTGTGCGTTTTTAATGGAGAGCTTGAAGAAATTGTGTATGTTGAACAAACACCAGGTTTTGTAAATGAAAAATATTTAGATCACTGTTATATTCTAGATAAAGCTGTTTATGGTTTGAAACAAGCTCATCGTGCATGATAAGAAACTCTGACTCGATTTTTTATACAAACCAAATTTAAACAAGGTTTAGTTGATCCTACTTTCTTTCGTTAGAAAGAAGGTGAACATCTTATGATTGTTTAGATTTATGTTGATGACATCATTTTCAGATTCATTAATCCTTCACTGACTAGTGAATTTGATGGAAACTAAATTTGAAATGAGTTCGATGGGACCAATAAATTTCTTTCTTGAATTAAATATAAAACAAAGTAAGGAAGGAATTTTCATTAATCAAGAGGCTTATACTAAATCGTTACTAACAAAATTTGGTATGACAGATGATTCCAAAGTGAAAGTTCCCATGGCATTCAGAACATAATTAACTGCATCTCTTGATAAACCTGCTACATATCTTACTCAATATTGACAAATGATTTGGTTGCTTTTGTATCTCACAGTGAGTAGACTAGAAATTATGTTTCCAGTGTGTTATTGTGCTCATTATCAAGCTAATTCTCGAGACCCACATATGCTTGCAATGAAAAACATTTTTAGATATCTTAAACGAACATCATCACTTGGTTTGCGGTATCCAACTAATTCTAGCTTTTTCATACTGGCTTTCTCAGATGTTGATCTCGGAGGTTGTGGACTAGATTGTAAAAGTACTACAAGTGGTTGCCAATTTCTGGATGGTAAGATGATAAGTTGGCAATTAAAGACGCAAACATGTGTTTCACTTTCAACTATTGAAGAAGAATACATTGTAGCTACTTCATGCACATCTTAAATAATTTGGATACAAAGTCAATTAAGAGACTATGGAATTAGCATAAAGAAGATTCCTCTTTATTGTGACTCAGAAAGTGCAATTTGTATTTGTAATAATTCAGTTCAACACTATAAGACAAAACATATAGCCTTACGATATGATCTCGTAAAAGACCCTATTGAAGACTGAAATGTTGAAGTACATTTTGTTAGATCAGCAGATCAATTGACCAATATCTTTACAAAAGCATTACCGGAAGCTACTTTCAATCGAATTCTTCAAGGGCTCGCAATGATTGAGGCTGAATCGGCTCCAAAATCATTTGTGCAATTCTGAAATGTTCCAAACATCGGAAGCAATCAGAATTCACTGTTAATATTGAAATTCAATTGTTAATTCTGAAATGTTCCGAGCATCGGAAGACATCAGATTTCACTGTTCATTTCAGATTTTGATCTTTATTTCTAAATTGTTCCGATCGTCTGAAGCAGTCTGAATCTACTGTTCATTTTAGATTTTTTTTTTTCGTTCTTTCAGTTATGTCTTAGTTGTGATAGGCTACGATTTTTTGTAGGCCGATGCACCAACATAACTTTCTTTT